CTCTCTCTGTCTGTCTCTGTCTTTCTGGTAAGTGCATGTGCCCTATAGCAAAAACCTCTCCAAAAAAAGTAACAAAATGTCTTTGAGCTAGAGCAGTCTTAGAAGCCACCTGGATGAAATTTGTCACTTCTTCAAGAAGGAAGCTGACATCGAAAGGCATTACCATTATGCGTAGTTACACAGCCAGTTCAAGCAAAGCTTGGCCTAAAACCTCTCCAAAATTCCTGCTTTAGTGGTATGTATGTATTCATTTGTTTATTCACTTATTTATTTTCTTACTTATAAGTCCTAGCCTGCAGACTTCCCATCTAATCTCAAAGTAGCCTCATAGAAGATATGTATGTAAAACTCCTATCAAAACAGAAGTAGAAAAACAGTCAAGCGTGCACACACACACACACACACACACACACACACACACTCACACACAGACTGAGCTGGTGACCAGTTGTCTGGACCTGCTGTGTGATGCAGAAGCCACTAGTCACATGTGGCTATTGAGCCCTTGACATATGGCTTATCAGTATTGACATGTACTGTCCTGACAACATAAACAGCAGATTTCTAAGATGTCACTATGAAAAGAAAGAAAATGTAGGGCCAGCCAGTGTTCTGCAGTAAGACAATGCTGTGCAGTGCAGGGCCCACATGTATGGTTCCAAGTTTGTGTCCAGAGGTCTCTTTGTGTGCGTGGGCATATGTGTATGTCCCTGCACCTGGTGGCTGAGGTTGAGGATGAATTGTGCCATTGAGGACCTTATTGGGGGTGCCTGTCTCTTATAGGAAACAAACAAACTTCAAAAAAGAGAAAAGCATGTTAGATAGCTGTATCAGTAGATTTTATTTTAATTACATGTTGAAATGATGGCATTTAGGAAGTATTAGGTTCAATAAAAATAAGTTTACTCATTTTTTTTTTAATTTTGCAATGTGGCCACTAGAAGTTTTAAATTGCATATGTGGTAGAAAAAAATCACATAAGTAGCCCGTATTATATTTCCACTAAGTAGCACTAACCATTTTATATCATTTCTGTCCTGGAACACAGAATTTAGCTCTTTGTTTCTGAGAAAAAGAAATGAGTTGGATAATTCTCCTTAAAGAAACTTGTTTGCTCTTCCAAGAGAGATAAACATTTTCCCAGTATTAAATTACAAAATAAATATAAAATTATTTTATGGCTCTGATACAAACAGCAGTAGGCAACCCAAGGGATAATGCCTTCAACCCTGTTTTTACAGATGCAAAGACATTATTCACTTGGTTAGTTATTTAAGCTTATTTATTACTTTTTTTCTTGAGGGAGTAAGATGGAAAGACAGAGATACAGTTGTCCTCAACAGGGTCACCACACCGGAGTCCACTCACAACCTCACCTGTCTCACGTCATGGGCAAACATATGTGTACCAGGTGTTCCCAGGAAGTCCTAGGATCTGAACTCAGGACCTTTTGCAAATAGGTCCAGTTTTGTTACCATACATCAACCACCTTGCCCCTGTTACTTTTATTGTCCTTCAGGCCCCTGCTATTATTTATTTATTTATTTTTAGCTTTTTTTTTTTTCCCCATAGGGTGTGTGTGCTTGCTGGAGGGAGACAGAGAGAGGGGGGATGGAGATACTACGGTCCCTTCTCTTTCATTGTCCTCTTGGGATTTGGGGCATGCATGCACTTGTACCCAGCATGATTTTCAAGCTGGTGGAGGGTCCAGGACTTAAATCATGATCAGCGATGTGGGAGTCCAGCACCTTAACCATCACACTGCCTGCTGGCTGAAGCCCATGCTATCTTAAGACACATCAGGGGAAGCATTTCTTCAAGGGTTAGTGTCGTTGAAGTCTGGTTATGTCCATCTTCTATCTCCCTGGATACACAATATAAAGTCTGGAAAATACATCCAAATAATGAATGATGTCATATCCATCAGATTGTTTTCATATTCCAATGCCTGTTATCTCAACTGTACTCTCCACCGAATGTAAAGGACAATTTACTCAGAAATGTTTTTTTGTTTTTCTTTTTGTTTTTGGGGTTTTTTTTTTTTTTTTTTCCAGCCATGGCATGCAATGATACTGTGTTGCTCTTAAGAGTACAGGTTTTGCCCACCCTCCCCTCCCTTGGGAAAGTTTCACTGCCCACCCCATGCTTCTATCCTTAGGAAGTTAATCTCATTGAAACCTTGTTTCCTCTCATGAAAACTAGAGATGACAAAACCCACTTGCTGTGTGCTGAGTGTCCCTGACACATATTGAGTGGTCAGTAAATAAGAGTGTCTCTGCTTGGTGGATAGAACTGACTGAAGAAATGCATTTATGTCCGTACTATACAGACTTCCTGCTGTGAAAGATGATGAGTGTAATCATTCCATGCCTCCTCGACACTACCATGCAATTCTGTTATAATTTCATGTATGTGCTAGTGGGTGAGTGTGCCCACCAGACAGAGACAGAGACAGAGAGAGAGGGAGAGGATAAAGCACCTCCCATGGGGCATGGTTACACTGCAATCCTTTCTCCTCAATCTCGCCCTCCTTTTTTGGATTCTGGGCATGCACACACATGTGTCCAGCATATTTCTCAAGCTGCTAGGGTTCTTGAACCGCTGTCAGCCACGTGAGATCTGACTACTTTAAAGACAGGCAATGGAGCCAGCCCACAGTACAATTCTAATATGTCAGGATCCATGAGCCTGCAAGTGTTCATTCTCACTTGGCATTGCATGTAAAAATGCAAAAGAACCTTTGAGAGAATTCTGCACCCTTTGTTTGACAAAACACGATCCTAACTCCAGCTTCAACCAACTGCCTTCTCCATGAATGCCACTGATGCTGGCCATATTCAAAGAACAAGTCACCAGAAGCAGTGACCACTGAGTCTAAGAAACTTCCTCTACCAGTTCCATCTGGTCACAAGTGAAAAATATATGCTGCATACCTTGGGTAGCAGTTTACTCTTCTCTTTGGAGAAAGTTCTCTGTAAGTCAAAAAGAGCATGTCTTCTTTTTGTGCTCTTCCTATGGTTTGTTTTCTACAAGTAATAATCCAAGGATAAAATTTAAAATAATCACACTGTTTTAATTTATTTCAACATCAGTTGTAACCTCTAAATACATAGATAATTTACTAAAAAAAAAATGCAGAGAAAACCATCTGGTGGCCAGCAGGTTGCCTAGTGGTTAAGGTGCTGGACTTCCATGTGGTCGACCATGGTTCAAGTCCTGGACCTGGCAGCTTAGAACTCACACTAGGCATGTGTGCATGCATACCCCAAATCCCAGGAGAACGGGGAAGGATTGCAGAGTGACCATCACCCTTGGAGATTATTTCCCGCTGTTGTTTCCATGTCTCTCCAGCAAGTGCATACGCCCTATGGCAAAAATCTCTTAAAGAAAAAAAAAAGAAAAATCCTGCTCAGAGGAAGCACTCAGTGAATATTTTCAAATGAACTAATGCTTCTCTTTCCTCTTAGATTTTTTTAAGGAAAGGACCATTTGGGTAGAGGTATCAATGAAGTTTTCACAGCCCCCAATGAACCTTATTTTGATTATATGTCCATTCTATTAAAAATCTTGTTAAAGGGACCAGCAGATGATGTAACGGTTACATCACTGGACTCTCATGTAGTTGACCATGGTTCGAGACCCAGACCCAGTGGCTTAACACTCACACCACGCATGTGTGCATGTGTGCCCAAAATCCGAAGAAAAGACTGGAGGAGAAGGGATTGTGGTGTGGCTATCCCCCTAGGGGGTGATTTCTCGTTTTCTGTCTCTCTGTCTCTCTCTTTCTTTCTGTGTCTCTCTGGTGAGCAACATGCACCCTATAGCAAAAAAAAATTGCTCTAACAAAAAAATAAAATAAAATAACCTTGTTAAAAACAGAACTCAGATGCTAGCAGAGAAGGTTATCTGCACATGATATCTACAAATGCTCTCTATTTTCAAACCACATCTTGCCAGATGTAAAATATGGCACCTCTTTAACTTATCCCAAGAGAATTACTCAATATTATAAACCTTTTATGGGAGAAAAGTAGAATTTTTAAAAATGTCATTCTATATGCCACATTTAAAAAATGAAGATAAACACCTTAAAAATTCTTATTAGGTATTTTTTTCCCCAAAGAGGCATTGTCATTGTCACTGTTTCCACAATCAGGGCCTCCAGTCTCCTGAATTTTCCTTCTGCCCCTGCTTCTCTGTCTCGAACAAAATAGATTTCATTTACTCTCTGGATTGGAGACCTTCTGTTACTCACCTTGTCCTTGAGATCTCACCCCAAGTAACTTATCAAAATACTTATTTCCAGGGGACCAGCAGTTAGCATAATGACTATGTCGCTGGACTCCCACACAGTCGACTGCGGTTCGAGTCCCGGACCCGGTGGCTTAAACTCACGTCAGGTGCGTGTGAGTGCGTGCCCAAGATCCCGAGAGGAGAATGGAGGAGAAGGGATTGTGGCGTGGCCATCCCCCCTGGGGGGTGATTTCTCGCTTTCTGTCTCTCTCTCTCTCTGTGTGTGTCTGTCTGGCGAGCGCACACGCCCTATAGCAAAAACCTCTCAAAAAACAAACAAACAAACAAAAAATCCTTATTTCCAGGACTAGGGCTAGCCTCGTAGCCCAATGGTTAAGGGAACTGGATCTTACATATCAAGCTGCAGTTCACATCCAGCCTGAGCAGCATCAAAAACATGCTGGGCATGCGTGTATGTGTGCCCCAAATCCTGACAGGATAGAGAAGTGGAGAGGAAATTGTGGCCTGACTGAACTCCATGGGTGTGTATGTAGGTACTTTCTTCCTCTCCTCCCTCCCCATCTCTCTCTCTCTCCCTGGCAAGTACACACATCTTCTCTGACAGTTACACACACACACACACACACACACACACACACACATTTATTTCCAAACAGCACTCTCTCTAGAAGGAATTGTGGTAAATAACCTTCCCTCCCCCTTGTTACAATCTGCCTGTTTGTGAGTCAAGTTCTGTGTCTTTGTAGGTCTGAGCCCAGCAGCCCTGACCATGGCTCATCAACAATTGAACAAGACCTTGCTGCCCTAGATGCTGAGATGACCCAAAAGTTAATAGACTTGAAGGACAAACAACAGCAGCAGCTGCTTAATCTTCGGCAAGAACAGTATTATAGTGAAAAATACCAGAAGCGAGAACATATTAAACTGGTAAGCCCAAGAAACATGATTTATGTTTGTGCAGCTGGAACCCTGTTTTCTGCAGAGAACTTTGTATGCTCCTGGGTAATTTAAAGCAGAAAAGAGCAGGTGTGAACAGCACCGGCTTGAAAGGTTGCAGAGGCCACATGGTGCTCACTATGGTGATGTTTTATAAGCCCCGCCATTCTAGCATTTCAACCAAGCTCTTCTGGGTTTCCTCAGAGGCTATCATTTATTATTTCTATTTGCATTGATACATTTTGGGGTTATTGTAATAGTTTTTGGTGATCTTTGAAATCTCACAAGCATGTAGAAGACATTTATCTTTTACTAGGAAAACTTATAACACACTGCAGATAAATTTTCACTTGTTTAAGTAGCACAGGGCTCAGCAAGAACCAAATAAAATGACACACTGCTCTCTCCTACATTGAAACAAGGCAGTATGTAAGTGGACAACGTGAAATATTGCCTACCTAATTCCCATGGCTCCCTCTAAGAGGAAATGTCCTCCCCTCCGTTAATAATCAGTTTTGTCCTTTAAAGCGTTTTTTTCATGGATTGTGACAGTCTCTCATGGTTGTGGCTGCCTGGATACATAGAAGAGACATGATAAATGGTGACGCATGGATGAAATAAACTTAGCAATAAAGCAGCCTTGAAAACAGGCTTATGCCCCATACGAATGAGTTTGATAGAAATTAGGGTACCCAGAGGAACTGAGCTCTAAGAAGTATTTGCATGTGACTTGTCCATTTCTTTGCTGGGGGTCTGTTAAGAGACTGTTAAGAGAATTCTGAGCTGTTTCTGCTTGCAAGGCAGGAAGTTTGCCACTGGCTTAGCCCTCACTGTGTAATAGATTCACTATAACGCTGTTCCAGCACTGCTTCCCCAATGATACTATGCAAATAAATAGGTCAATTCACATGAATTGCCTATAAAACAAATCAGATTCTCCTCGGTCAGTTATTCTCAACATGAGCGGGCATCAGAATCACCTGGAGGGCTCGTTAAAGCAGGTTGTTCAACCCTATCCCACATTTCCAATTCAACAGGATGTGTACCAATGCTGCTTCTGGTCCCAAGACCACACTTTGAGAACCACTGCCCGAATAGGAGGCTCAAGGATTTGTTTTTTGCAAACTCCACATGATTGTGATGGGTTGCCTTGCTTGTAAACTGCTGAAATAACATCAGAGCAGTGAAGGCATAACTGGATGGTGTGTTAGACCACTTTTCTGTTCCTATCATTGAATACCATAAGCTGAGCAATTTGTAAATAATAGGGGCCTATTTAGCTCACAGTTTGGGAAATCCAGGGTTAAGGGACCACATCTGGTGAGGATCTTCTTTTTGGTGGGGATTGTCTGCAGTGTCCCCAGGTAACACAGGGCCCAGAGGTATTGGAGGACATTCACATAGCAAGAAGGTAATAAATTATGTCTTTTACGTCAGCTCTGGTCTCTCTCCTTCTTCCTATAAAGCCACCAGAATTCAGTCCTGAGGGCCCTACCCTGATGATTTTATATCCTAGTCACCTGACAAAGGCCTCATTTCTTGGATTAAGTTCCCACCCTCGTAATACCATTACAGTGGCAGTTAAGTTACCAACACATAAGCTATTGGGGGGGCACATGTGAACCCTGGCAGGCAGATATTGGGTTGGATGTAAGGAGAGAATTATCTTGACAGACCTGAAAAAGTCAAAATAAGTTTTAATGGGAGATAATGGCTTTGACCCAGCTACAACCACTGCCCTCGAACATTTTCTAGAAACTCCCCTCCCCAGTAATTCAGAATATTTTAACAATAAAAATTAAAATAGAAACCATGTATTGAACACTAACCCTGGGGCCAAACACTGAGCTAAGCTATTTATAGGAATTGTCCTATTTAATTCACACAACCATCGCTGGAGTTTGGTTCTAGTGTCAAGCTCCATTTTGCAATTAAAAACACTTCTAGAGAAACTTAGTAACTGTCTCAAAGTTCTGCAAGTAGAAAGTGGTGCAGTTGGGATTTGAACCTGGATCCTCTGATTTTAGAGTCCCTTCTTAATAACCATGGTGGATGCCTCTAAAATTCAGATTTTAGGCCAACACCATCATACCGAAGGGGATTTTTCTGCATGTCTACTCACGCAGAGCACACACAGTGATCTTCTTAATTACAATGACTAGGATACCATGCCTCTCTCTCTCTCTTTTTTCAATGTCTTTATTTCAAATATCTGAAGATTTATTATTAAAGCATACCGTTCAGTGTTTTTAGTATAGTCATCATAATCAACTTTAGAACATTTTCATCACCCCAGAAAGAACTCCCAACTTATCCATTCATTTGTTTATTCAGCAAATATTTAATAGATACCTATTGAGCAAATATTTTACAACAGTAGTGGACGAAAACTCAATAACCCTAGTCCAGGGAAGCTTACATTCTAGAAGGAGGAGTCATACCACAAACAAAATAAGTTGGTAAAATATGTATTAATAGTTTGTTAGGTGGTAATAAGGGCTTAAGAGAAAAACTGTAACAGAAATGGTCAAATGGAGAGTAAGGGCTGGGAAGGATGAAAAGCGTGCTTTGCAATTTGAAATAGAGGAGTTAGGGAAGGGCCTACTGAGAAGACAGCATTGGAGTTAGGAGCCCAAGGGCTGACCCACGCAAAACGATGGAGGAAGATGTTTCTAGGCAGACTCTGGGTAGTGGAGGAACACCAGGGTGGTTCTGTTGGGAGATAACACCAGGTCAGAGTGATGAAACTTTTGAAGTAGGACACAGATCTTCTAGCATCTTTAGGCCTCTGTGTCACTGGAAATGATGTGGAAGCTGCTGGAGGGCTTGGAGCAGAGGACTGACAAGATCTGAAATACCTTTCACAAGGACCATCCTGAGGCTGGGCTGTCCAACACATGGGAGTAGTGGTACCCCGGGCAAGGGGAAGGCCTGAGGCATGATTCATGCCAGTGGTGGCCCAAAGAGTTAAGAAGTCCTGAGGATATCAAGCTGATGACTCACTTTCACTAACAGAAGTCCATATAACCCAGCCATAACTATCTATAGTTTGCCCAGAGTCCAGATCCCTGGGTAAGACACCATTCTCCATGAAAGAGACATGGCAATTCAGAAGAGACAGGTCAGAATAAGAGGGAAACCTGACACTCACAGGAGATTCCTGAAATAAGAATTCAGAGTACTGATGAAAATAAATAAATAAATAAATAAAAATCAATCAATAAAAACCCAGAGAGCCAGGAAGATCTTTTGGGAAGAAAGGGACTTGAGCTGTGAAAATAGGGTGCAGGAAAGAGAGATAAGACGTCAATGTCCAGTCCCACTGCAGGGCATAGAAAACCGTGCAGTCACTTTTTTCCTGGAGGGAGAGGCGGTGGGAGGGGATTTGGGGAACAGTATTCGGAGTCTGTAGGTGGGGAATCCTGCCTGAAGAAGAGAAGAAGTGGTAAAAAGCCTCCTGGAGGTGACAACTCCATGTTATGCTCCTCTGTTCTCTCTCGCTAAGAAGGAATCTGTCTGTACACTGGAAAAGTTTAGAGGGGTTTTCAGGAAAATGTAAAGCCAGCCTGGTCCTTTCAGGCCAAATGTAATATACTCACCTCCTTGCCACTGTGATATAGATTGGGGTTTCAGATAAAACCCCAGTGCCTTTTGAGCACACCTGTATAAACTTTTTTTTTTTTTAAGAAATTTTTCCTCTGGGGTGTGCATGCTCACTGGAGACACAAAGAAAGACAGAGAGAGAAAAAGTGAGGGAGGGGATGACCACACCACAACCCCTTTTCTTCCACTCTCCTCTTGGGATTTTGAGCATTCACACACATGCACCCAGCATGAGTGCCAGGCTACTGGGTCCAGGACTTGAATCATAGTTGGCCGAATAGGAGTCCGGTGCCACAAATACTAAGCCACCTGCTGGTTCCGGCTGTATGGACTTTTGTTACAACGGCTAAGGCCCCAGCCCCTCAGATTGGGATTGCAGGCAGTGTATGTTAAGGCTATCTGGGGGCATCTGCCATTTATACCACATCCCTGTAAGTGCCACATGAGTACCAGAGCTTCCTACTAACTCCCTTCGTAATAACTAGGAATTGTTCTGCCAGGAAATCTTTTCATTGAAAGTTACCCAAAGTGTCGATTCCATCCTTGGTGATGCTGAATGATGAGCAGGCTTCTCGGGCTAAATTAGAGAAACGGAAAAGTAATTAAAAAGCAAATAGGCCCCAGGTAAAATGAATGATTTGGGTGATGAGGAAAATTAAGCAGAAGATACTTCATCTCCCAAAACTGCTTTGGGGATTAAATAACAACGTGCTTTGGTTACATTTCGAATACTGGCGTCCACAATTCAAGAATTAAGAAAGAAACCATGGCAGCAATAAACTCCTTGCCAAACGTTTGTTGAAAACTTAATGTTTGTGCAAAGTTCTGATAGACACTGTAGTAAAAAGGAATAAAACATGGTCACATTCATACTCAGAGCTTGTGTATAACAAACAGTTCTAATACCATGTGATAAATGAAATAATGGAGGTGTCATCAAATTGATATCAAAGTGCAAATATGAGAAGCATTTGCCTCAGTCTGTAAATTGATAAACACCAAAAGAATAGTCTTGAAGTACTGGGTTGTCAAAAAAGTCATGATGCATTTTTGCATAGAAAAACAGAAAAATACATCATGACTTTGCTGACAACTCAGTAATTACTCATATTGTTATAGGAGGTGTAAAATATACACCAAATTCAATAGCACTTCATAGACTCTACACCTGTCTGAAAAATGATCTACACCATTCTAGCTCTGTATCCAAGTAACTACCACCTGGACACTCACAGTGTGGTCTCTCATCTGGGAGTTTGTTACATGTGAAGTCTCAGGCTTCATCCAGACCTTCTAAACCACAATTTGCATTTTGATAGGAGATGCAAGTGGTTTGTTACACATTCAAGTTTAAGAAGCGTGATTTTAGAGCCTATCTTTGCTCAAAG